CCCAGACTGCCTGAAGCGCGCGGAGGTAATACCCATTCATAAGTCGGGAAAACCGAAGAACCAAAGAGAGAGCTACCGACCGATTTCGCTACTCAGCTCGATCGCCAAGATTGCGGACAAGATCCTATTGAGCAGACTTCTCCGTCTGGAGAAAAGGCTGAAACTTGTTCCGGAGGAACAGTTTGGATTCAGGCAGGGTCGTAACACGGCCTCACAACTTGTCCGACTGATCCACGGAATAAAGGAGGCCTTTCACCAGAAGAAGAATACAGTCATGGTCCTGTTGGACATACAGAAAGCCTTTGACACCGTTTGGATAGAGGGATTTATCGCGAAAATGTGGATGGCACACATGCCTCTATACATGATAAGAATCTTGGATTCTTATCTGGTCAACCGGAAATTTAGGGTAAGAGTACACCAAGCTATCTCTACGGATTTTTCAATGGAAGCAGGTGTTCCGCAGGTGCCCTGTTTATCCCCACACCTATACTCTCTGTATACATATGACTTTCCAATGTTCGCAAAAACATATCGCAGGCATATATGCAGATGATACTGCCATATATGCCCATTCTTACTCTAGTGAGGTGGCAACAGGCCAAATACAGATTCACCTGGATCGGTTAGTTGTACCGTACATGGAGAGGAATAAGATAAGGCTAAATCCGTCAAAGACTGAACTTGACAATTTCATGAAGAAATTCACCGACGTGAAGATCTTCAGGAAATTGACGATTCAAGGAAAGTGTGTAGAAGAACAGAAAATTGCGAAGTATCTGAGAGTTATCCCGGACACGCGCTTGAATTTTCATGAGCACCTGAGTCTGGCAATTCAGAGAGCGGAAGCGGCGATTAAACGAAACTACCCTCTCATTGCACGAAATTCCAAACTGAGTGTGGACAACAAGCTCCTGATATACGAGCAAATTATCAGGCCCGCTATGTTGTACGGTTGTCCTGTATTCTGTAGCCTTAAGAGGACTACGTTACGGAGACTAGAGACAATGTAGAATAAGGTGCTTCGTATCGTGACTGATAATGATCGATACATTTAATTGGAGCGTTTACGAGACATAGCAAAGGTCGAGCCGATTACGGATTTGATCCGAAGGCTTGCTTACAAACACTTCAAGTGGTTCCTTTCGAAAAGTCCGCTGACTAGTAATATCACGGCAGTTAGAGTTCGGTGGGTTGATTTACAAAGCACTCGATATTTTCCATGAGCGACATGTAAATGACCGTTTGTAAGCTCATGAAAAAACTGGCATAAAAAACTTCCTGTAGAAATTTTGTCCTGGTTTTTTCATCAACTTTTTCCAGGAGTATCCAGCTTACCAACACATCGACAGCTATGTTTTCATTTGAATGACCTAAATATCAAAACCATGTAATGATGTGCATACGCCTTGGCGGCAGGAGGCACATTACCTAACCGTTTTAATAAAGTCTATGTTTCTGGGTGAGCATCAACCCGCTAACATCGCGGGGGGCGTTCCCCACCGCCTCCTCCCGGCGAGGACGTGAGGGCGCGTCTTTCTGGAGTCACTTTGCTACTCTACCCTTAAGGTAGAGATACTCATAAAATGTAGGCATGTAAATATTTTATTTTAATAAAAATGATTTTTTTGCTTTTGCTTTTTGCCAATTCTCGTCCGATCACTGAAGCCAAGCAACGTCGGGCTTGGTTAGTACTTGGATGGGTAACCGCTTGGGAACACCGCGTGTCATTTAGTTTTCTTTTATTCCACAAGGAAACTATCTTTATAACGACTTGTCACTGTTTTGCCTGATAGGAGTTACATGAATTGATTTTTTTGCTTTTGCTTTTTGCCAATTCTCGTCCGATCACTGAAGCCAAGCAACGTCGGGCTTGGTTAGTACTTGGATGGGTGACCGCTTGGGAACACCGCGTGTCATTTAGTTAGTAGGAAACTATCTTTATAACGACTTGTCACTATTTTGCCTGATAGGAGTTACATGATATATTTTTTTAACTCTTTCTTTCAATTGAATCTTCTTAATATCTTACATTAAACACGTCCTACTTAGATGCCATATTCAAGGGTGAGTTCATTAATTTGTAAATATGCCTAAATTGAACCAACTTCGAGCCATTAGTTGATTCATTGAAAAGCCGATAATTATACGGACTCGAAGATGCATCGAAAGAAGCATTATATATAGTACAAATTTTCAGTTAGGTAACATGGTGAAGTACATTTCGAAGATTCTGCAAAGTTACATGGTTGACAGATTGTGAAAAGCCATGATGGTCTCAAGGTGTCTCGAGGCGTTATTAATATGATCTACTCATAGCACGAGGCTAATGATCATAGCATTCGATGACGATTTTCCGTCGGTGAATTTTTCTAAGAAGTTTCGTTTTATGTTCCAAATGTTTCAAATTTAAAAAAGGTTTTTTAAATATTCCAAGTGAGACGTCAGTTGCGGGTAAAAAGGCGATCTTTTAAAATTATCTTTAATATATTCTTTATGTTATCTGTCCTTAATTGTAATAAATGTAATTTGAATGAATATTTTCGAAGATATTTCAGATTTAAAATGCAGATACATAGCAGTTGCGGCTGTACTGGGCTAATTATATGTCACTTTTTCAAGAGAAACCTCTAAAGAAAACATGTTTGTATTGCCTACTGACAGAAAACTTGTGAACGTTGTATATAAACACTTTCTGTAGTATATGATGGAATTGGCCGATTCTTGATGAAAATCCCAAATTAACGTATTCAAAAAACACTTTATTGTGAGACAACATAGACTATCATGGATAACATAGTTATAACATAGAGTATGAAATCCATATTAATCAGTTAACTAATAGTTTCTTGTGCTGATATAGATACGTAGATGATATCTCAGTCTGTTTTACTGGTGCAGATAGGCAATTAGGCAAGTTCATTGAATATGTCAATTCCATCCACCCCTCAATAATGAGAGGGAGGTAAATAATTCAATAAATCACCTTGACTTAACCATTACGAGAAATAACAATAAACGTGCATTTGTAATTTTTCACAAACCATCGTACATGGACATTAATTATCATATATAATTTCTCCACACACCCTCACCAGCATAAAGTGGTTGCATTCAATAGTATGCCTCACAGACTATTGAATATTCCACTATCTGAGAGTAATTTCCAGAGAGAGCCAGGTTTGATCAAGCAAATCGCGGTTAACAACGGTTATAAGGTAGATATTATAGACTCCATTATTTCCAAAAAACTACAAAAGCAAGCCATGGACCTGGTCTACCCAAATTCAAGATGCGATAACATCAGTTATAGGACATTGTCATATTTGGGTGAACCAACCAATAATATTGCCCGTTTTTTGAAGAAAGAATGTGTGAACGTAGCTTACAGAACGGATAATAGTCTAAGTGAATTTATTAAAAATGATAAAGACAAAACTGGTGTCGGACAGATAAGGAGTATATAGGCTGACTTGTGGCTCTTGCCCAAAACTGTATATTGGCCAAACAGGGAGAACATTTTTCCAAAGAATTAAAGAGAATAGATGTAGCTTTGTAAATAGAAAGACCAATTCCACATTTGCAAACCACCTTCAGCAGAAGGACATGAGTTCAATCATGAATACGATGTGTTACATTTAGAAGAGAAGAGTTTGAAACTCAATCTGCTAGAATGTTTAGAAATCAATAGATCCAGGAATTCGGGTCATTTACTCAATGATCAATTAGAATTGAATAGCTCCCCATATTTTTTCAAATGGTGAAACTGGGACATATGCTCAGGTAATTTAATTCATTACAAACTGAGGTAAAAAGCAGGTACTTGAAATGTAGGTACTTCAAATTGTAGAATAAGGTATATTAAAAATTGAATATGTAGAATATAGTTAGTAAAGACACGCCCGAAGAAGCCATTGTATGGTGAAACACATGTTGCGCTTTTGTGAAATCGTTGAATGAAAATCTCACAATAATGTGTTTTTTAAATATTACTGGGATTTTTTCCCAACACCAAACCGTTTTTTCACACCTTGACACGTGTTTCGATCACCAAGTGATCATCTTCAAAGTTTGATCTTCCCCTTGAAGATGATCACTTGGTGATCGAAACACGTGTCGAGGTGTTAAAATAACGGTTTGGTGTTGGAAAAAACTCCTGTGATATTCATTACTACACCAAAGGTTCCAAACAGTGCATCACAAAAAAGTGTTTTTCGAATACCTTCTGAAGCATATTCAGTATCAGCATTGCATCTGTGCGGAACCGGGGCGTTTCGCTAGTTGGAACAATCTTCTGCATATAATGTAATCTATCTACACATTTCCAAAATTGGGAGATGTAGGAATAGTTAGATGAGTATTCGAAGAATAATTTTCCAGTGTATTCAGTAGAAATAAGTGAAACTGAAAAACAATCAAGTTCACCTTCGTATATTTAATCTGACGGTCTTCATACAAAATTATTGCTCAAAAGTTCAAATAGAAGTCCTATAAATACGTTGTAATCGATATACATATCTCATTTGTCACTTGTTGATGCATTTCTTTTTTTACGTTTTTTTTTTCGTTACATCTCTTTAGCTTGCAGTTGTTTTATTCTACTTACATAATCTTTTGGCTTTTTTCATCCTGCAGAAAGGTTTTGACTCATATCTAAAATGTAAGTTCCAAACTTTTGAAAATCTGAAATTGAGGTTATTATACTGCCCGAAATTATTAATTTTCAATTCGAGTATGTGTATTATTATTCTTAAAATTGAGATCAGCTGTATTGAACTGATTGAAATATCGTTGAATACGATTTGTAGCATACCAAAAGTATAACTATGTGATCTCTTAGCACCTTAGCGTAGAATAAAATGTTCTGTTGTCAACTAAAATACTTTGTTAGATACTCTTCAGTTCATGATAATGTTCAATTTCTCGGTAGCTACGGTTTTCTTTTCTGTATACTTTTTTGCTGATCTTAGTTGACACGTTGAAAATTATTGTCAAAAAAACTTAATTTGTCAAGTGCGATTCAAAAACCGTCTCAAATGACAGAGAAAAGTCAAACTTTTCTATTAACTGTTGCAATTTTGGAAGGAAGACATTATGCATGGTTGAATATGGACTCTGCCGTTATTGTGAAAATAGACAATAAATTTAAATGCACCTCGGTGAAAAGAAAGACTGATTGTCCGTTCTATAATGAGGTGCCGATTCAGACACTTCTTTTCATGATGGTATTAACGAAGTTAACCTTGTTTTCAGTATTTCGTGTTTGAATTCTATACAACATTCCATGATATGATTGAAAAACAGATGTCAGTAACAGTAAGTAACTTTAAAATATATAGAAATTATTGTTTTTTTGTGTTATGTGATTAGTGGAAATATTTTAAGTTATCGTGAATTATGAATTTTCATTTTCTTTAAAATCAAAAATTGTTTGCCTCTGGTCAAGAATGAGAGTCTGTACTTCAATTTGTGTGTCGGATGTCAAATGAGAAATCTGCATTCAGAGGAAAACAAAATGGATGATTGTACTGATACTAAAAAATAAAGTGACCGTACACATATATAAATCCTTCATTATATCATTAGAGAACCCAAACATGAGCTTCACTTAAACAATCACTACTTAGGTGATATAAAATCATACTCGTAGTGGCCGCTCCCAGGAAGAAGAAAAAGTAACCAGATCTGTTTTATACTTGATAATGGGTTATAACTCGAAAGAGGTCGTAAAAATAAAATAACTAGTGTAAATTAGAAAAAAGGGTTTTTATTCAGTTCATTGATCTGAAAGGAGATATTTAGCTTTATGATAGTCGTTGATTCTTTCCTTTCTTTGAGCTGAATTACAGGAGCAAGTTATCATGACTTAAGGTGATGCTGATAACGTAGTTGTCATCTTTAGGACTAATCATGAACCTGAAGCCTCAACTAGTACAATAGATCTCGAAACTTTCAAGTTGAATATAAGTATTCACCCTTTTTTTTCACCCTAAACTTTTTAGTGAACTTCAAAGAAGACTATCTTATCCAAAACGTTGGATAAAAAGATACGAACTTGTATATATGGCTTCTGATAAAATTGCATTAGATGAGGGTCCTGCGGACTTGCTTTCGCAAATGTCTTAGTTTATTCTAACTTGTTTAACTTGCTGATATCTAGCAACTGACTACCAGGAATCTAATAAACTATACCAGAAGTTCAAAAATTAAACTTGGAAAATAATTTAAAGGTCACAGTACTGAACTTTAAATTGCCAAAATAAGTCTAAAGACTGTTTTGAAATGAGATATATATGTATGAGAAATTGGAAATTTCTAAATAAGTTTCGAAACATTCATCTCTTCCAACGTACCTACATGCCGGAAAATAACTATTTTCCCGGCTGATAGCACCATGGACATTGAATTATTGAATAAAACTGGCCGATACTTGATGAAAATCTATATTGAAACTAATAAATACAGTTTATTGTGTGATTTTCACTATAAAGATACGTGTTTCGCTATACGATAGCTTCCTCAAGCGTAAACTAAAAGTTACTATATGAATGAATTTTTCGGAAGTATCGTAAATATACTCAACTATTTTTACCTGGAAATGAAAAGATTCAATAATGGCGTATTATTCAATTCAGTCTGCTTGTTCATAAGATATTGAGAATTTTCGAGAGAAGTTTCAAACCTTTCTTCTAGAGATGGAGAGGCTTGTATTCATGGTTGAACTCATGTTCCTCTGTGAATAAATGAGTGGCATATGTGGAATTCATTTCTCCATTCTGGAAACATTTTTTGTGTTCCTTTACGCGAGCTTTGAACGTTCTTCCAGTTTGACCTATATAAAACATCGGTCACACGATAATTTATACACTCCCGATTTTTCTGAAGCTGAACTTTTATCTCTGTTATTCTTAATGTGTATGCCTAAATTGTTGTTGGTTTTGAAAGCAATATTTTCAACATTGTTGTGCAGAAAATCTGAAATATGTGTAGTGGGTTGGCCTAAGTAGGTTAAGGTTCTATAACTTTTATCCTCTTCTCTTTGAATTGGGTAAACTTCCTTCAAAGCTTGGCTGTATAACTTTTTTGATAATGAAGAATGTATAAGACTGCTATCATAATCATTGTTGACGGTTCTTTGTTTTATTTTATTTTCAGTTCTTTATTAAAATTCGCCTCTGACAAGTCTGTGGATGATACTGTTCAACCCACACAGCACTAGATATTCATGGAATATTCCCTGTATATCATAAAACGAACGTATATATTAAAAATATTCATAGAATATTCTTGGAATATATACATGTCTTTAGAATATTCAGAGAATATGCTTGAATGAATATGGCAGGATTATTCCCGAAAGAATGTGCATAGAATGTCTATAAATGGATTATTCTCCCTTGAATATTCTTAGAATATATCCCCACGGTATATTTTGGAATATTCTATACAATGGAATTTTGAATTATCTTGTAATAACGTATTCAAATAATTCAATATTATTAAAAACAAAAATATTTGAAGATCTTAATCGAATGCATAACCTAATGTATATAACCCTGATAGTGTTAACCAGTTTTTGAACTCAACGCGAAGATTCTGGATGAATTGCTCCAACAGCAACTGTTGGAAACGACAAAAAAATTTGAATGGGCCAATAAA